GCTCTGTTTCTCCATGTGCCCTCTGCTGAACAGCTGTTCAACTGAAAGACACATCCTCATTCTCACAAGGGTTTATGTACTGCTTTGTATCACTGTGCAGAGGCACTCGGTCGCTTTGCTGACAGTGGTAATATCCTTCTTCTTCTGCTTCAACACTGCTAATGGTCAAGGTGAAATCTTCTCCATAGCCACTGCTGCTAAACCGAGCTGGGACGTCTTTCTGGCGGGCATGTCCCTCAGAGAAAAGGAGCCTAGGAGGTTGTTCTGGTTTCTGCTGGTACCAGTTCATATCATCATCTATGTCGGTGTCTGACTGGCATTTGATTGTAGCTGGATCTCCAACAGATAAGAAGAGTGATTTGGGAGACTGAGTCAACACAATCTGCCCACTGGTGCCTAGATGAAGGAAGAGGGGGAGAAACTACATGGGTCACAGTATATTTATGGAAGACCTCCAGCTAAGATCTTCCCCAAGAAAAATCAAGGACATCAGCAAATTGTTTACAGATATTAAATAAATCACTTCTTGATGGAGTTCATCCTCTTACCTTGGATCCAGAACAAGATACTCAAGGAAAGATACACAAAGGACTCCATAATGCTGGCTACCTAGTGTGTCTGCCACTGCCCAATGAAGTCCTAAATGGACAGCAGCTGATTTATACTAAAGAGGAAAGGGCATGTGGGTGGAGTAAAGCAAATGAGGAAGTTAGGGACTCATTGCCATTGCATTTATAGTGCTTTGGACTAGGGGGTGTACACGTATTGGGCCACAACCTAAATGTTGACCTGTAGCGGTCCACTTCAAAGACATTAAGGTCTTACCTGAAACAAGGCAACTCATCTCTGGATCAGTCCTGAACTCCAAACTAGGCCACCTTGAAATCATGTTAAGAGAGGAAAAGCCTTTTAATCAGGTTCATTGTAGGAACTATATATAGCTGTTCATTTGTAGTTTGATCCTTGTATTTCAGGTTCTCTGGTTCAGTTTTTCTGGGTCTGGTGGGTAAGGTACTATGACAGAGAAAGCGTATTTTTGTTGTTGTGTGCAGAGTGTGGGTGTTTTCTTGGAGGTTGTATCAGCACAGCGACTCCATAAATGGATGTGTTAACAATGTTATTCTAGTGAAAAGCTGAGGGCAGCTTGCATGAAGAGATAATACTCTGCAGAGTTCACTTCTGCCCCTTTGTTCTTGTTCACTACCTAAAAACATAACATTTCCAGCAATGTGGAACTAGGGGAAAGTTTTTGGTACCAGTGCAGGAAGTGCCTTCCCTACTAGCCGGCCTCTCCAGCTACATAGCTCATGAGTGTGTTACTGTGCATCACACTTGTATCTTATGCCATGGCTGACACAGAGGCTGGATCCATCCAATGCTTTAATTGAAAGAGTTTCCCTTCTGAATGAAAATGAAATCAGCCAATTGCTTGCCATCACCTTTAATGGCTGGGGGGGCATTCAAGACAGCAGAGTGATGAGAGAGTAACCAAAATCCTATTGCCTAGTGCAGTAAATTTCACTAGAGTAGGCCCATTGAATCAATTGGGATTACAGAGGAGCTGAATCCCCAAATCCCCATTGATTCAATGGAACTCTTCTATTGCAATATACAACAGGATTTTGTCCCATGAGTGCCTTTTCTGAAAAGAAGCCTCTGAGTAGTTAAGTTACCTGCCATTCACAAAGTGCAAGGAAATATTTACATGAAAACCATATGTTCCTGGAACCTTGGCTGGCACAGGACTTCTCTTTCTAGTATGTCATGGCTTACTGGTGTTCTAACCTTTCTGTTACTATTTGGGGTTCTCCAGTCTAAAGCTGAGTGGACTGAAATGCTGTTGCTCATCGCAATGAATC